GTTTAACATTGGGGGAGTAAATGGTGCCTAACGTGATCGGTCTATCGGCAAGTTTCCCTTTAAGAAACAGGTAACGTCCATCATGGTCAATTAAGGAATCCATTACAACCAGGGGAAGGTGTTTAGCAATTAGGATTGAAACTCCTTTAGATTTGGCTAAGGAATTGAGAGCATGTTGGGAAGCGTTTTTAGGAATAGAATCTGCACGGAAGTACGTCTCTTGTAGAAAGACAATGTCAGCTTTCTGTTTGTGCATGGAGGAGAGCAATAGAGAACGTTTTTCAGGTTTGTTAAGGCCTTAAGCGTTGAGAGAGAGAGTACTTTCAAGGAGGAGTGGCCTAGTGAGGTTCTGGGAGCCTCCATGATGGAGGGAGCGAGATTACTGGCAGATGAGTCAAGGTCAGTTAAGGAGGGGGGGAGGGAAGAAAGATGCCACAGACCTAGAGAAAGAAGAAAGGAAGGAGGAAAGGACAGGAAGGGAGGGAAAAGAAGAAAAAAAAAGAGGGGGGAGAATGGGGGGGAGGGTAAGTTAAAGGTAGGGAGAGAAGGGAGGGAGGGAGGGAGATGGAAGAGGGGTAAAGGGTGATAGGTCAGTAAGGAAGGGCAGAAAGAGAGAGAGAGAAAGGAAAAGGTTACGGGAATGAGAATAGACCAGCTATGTCAAAAATAAGAATGAGAAAGGAGAAGAAGGGGGGAGAAATGTACTGGAAATGGTCAGTAACAGCTCACAGAGCCTACTGTGTGGGGAACAAGAGTATAGTAGAACCAAATGGGGAGAACCCACCATTAGGGGGACCTTAAAAGCTTTGAAAATGAGGGATTAGTGTATCCACCTAATTATGTATTTAAGCAGGGGGCTGAAGAGGGCTTTCTCACAGCAGTCTCTTCGTAGAGGGGATAGTGCGGTGTGAATTGTACGACTAAATCAGCCTGGGGTACCATATAGAGGTGAGTAAGGTGACCAAGTTCACCCAGCAGGGAAATCGAAGTCTCTGTACTTAACGCATGACATTGGATGTGTGAACAGGGATGTAGGACACAGAATTAATTTAATCTCCTTCTAATCTTGTGCCCAGTGTTTGTAGATCACTACGAAGGTCTGCTAGGGCTGTGGTAATGTATCTTTAATGTCCACAGCAACTGCCTGGAGGTCTCTCAAGGACAGCATGTGGGCCACTGAGGAAAGATCATGATGTGGAAGGCTGTCTCTCACAGGGCTTATCCTACTGGAGGAGGAAGGGAAAAAGATGGCGGTGGTGTGTCCCTCTGCTGGGAGTGAAAGAGCTCTGTGATATGTCGGGACTGCTAGGAGGTAGTAGCCCTGGGAGAGCGGGATCGGGAACCAGGGTGTTCTGGTCTGCTTTCCGCATATTGTGGTGGTACTGTGCTCACCCGTTACGCTGTAGTGTAGAGTGTAGGTCCTCAGCTGGGTTAAGTGGCCATTTTGGATCACGGCTAGACCACGCACCCCCAGGCCATTTTTTGCGATACGGTGCTGCGTTATTTTACCTGAAAATTGTGCAGTCATGCAATGTTGTACATACATGAAATTTATGTCCTTTTTTTCTCACAAATAGAGCTTTCTTTCAGTGGTATTTGATCACCTGTGCGTTTTTTTTTTTTTTTGCGCTATAAACAAAAAAAGACTGACAATTTTGAAAAAAAAAAACATATTTTTGATTTTTTGCTATAAAACATATCCAGTAAAAAAATTGTAAAAATTAAATGTTGTCAAATTTAAGCCAAAATGTATTCAGCTACATGTCTTTGCTAAAAAAATCCCAATACATGTAAATTAATTGGTTTATGTGAACGTTATAGTGTCTACAAATGGCGGTATATATACTGGAATTTTTATTTTACTAGTAATGGCTGCGATCAGCAACTTATAGCGGGACTGCGGTGGGCATAAATAAATTCCTTCCTGATCCCCCGAGAGGCAGTTAGATATTCCCTGGATCAACTTTACCTATAAATGTTAGTATCCAGATCCAGTTATATTCTGTGTCTCTAAGAAAGAATCCAGGCCTTTTTTAAAGCAATCCACTGAGCTGGCCAGAACCAACTCTTGAGGGAGTCTATTCCACATTTTCACAGCTCTCACTGTGAAGAAACCTTTCCGTGTTTGGAGATTAAATTTATTTTCATCCAGATGTAAAGAGTGCCCCCTTGTCCTCTGTGATGGCCTCCGAATGAATAGCTTACACCAAGTTCACTATATGAACCACTGATGTCTTTATAATGTTGATCATATCCCCCCTTAATCTCCTCTTCTCAAGAGAGAATAAAATCAGTTCCTATAATCTTTCCTCATAGCTGAGCTCAGAGGCGGACTGACAACTCATGGGGCCCCTGTGTCCTTGCCCAAACTCAAAAAAGCCTATGAAAAAGGTACCAAGGGCATCTCATGGGGCCCCCTACTGACCCCGGGCCCTCGGGCAGTGCCCGAGTTTCCAAATGGTCAGTCCGCCCCTGGCTGAGCGCCTCCATGCCTCTCATCAGTTTGGTTGCCCTTCTCTGTACTTTCTCCATTTCCCAATTCTTTTTGTGAACTGGTGCCCAAAACTGAACTGCATATTCCAGTTGAGGTCTTACTAATGATTTGTACCGAGGGAAATTATATCTCTCTCTCTGGAGTCTATACCTCTTTTAATACAAGAAACCGCAGCTTGGCATTGCATGCTAGTATTAAGCTTGTGGTCTACCAGAACTCCTAGATCCTTCTCCACCATTGATTCCCCCAGTTGTACCCCCCCAGTATGTATGATGCATGCATATTCTTAGCCCCCAAGTGCATAACCTTACATTTGTCAACATTAAACCTCATTTTCCCATTTAAAAACATTGCATTGAGGTCGGCTTGTAAATTGGAGACATCCTGTAAGGACATTATTCCACTGTACAGCTTGGTGTCATCTGCAAACACTGAAATGGGATTTTAATCCCAGACCCTATATTGTTTATAAATATTTAACCAATTCAATCCCGGGCAATTTTACACCTTCCTGCCCAGGCCAGTTTTCAGGTTTCAGCGCTCTCACACTTTGAATGACAATTGCGCGGTCATGCAACATTGCACCCAAACTAAAATGTTATCATTTTCTTCACACAACTAGAGCTTTCTTTTGGTGGTATTTAATCACCACTGGGGTTTTTATTTTTTGCTAAATTAAAAAAAAAAAAAAAAAATTTTTTGAAAAAAACACGTTTTTCTTTGTTTCTGTTATAAAAGTTTGCAAATAAATAATTGTTCTTCATAAATTTAGGCCGAGATGTATTCTGCTACATGTCTTTGGTGAAAATAACCCAAATTAGGATGTATTTTTTAGTTTGTAGGAAAGTTATAGAGTTCACAAACTATGGTATAGATCTGAATATTGATCAATCCTGAAGTACTGACAGACAATCTAATTTCTTGAGGTCCAAGAATGTCAGAACAGTACAGATATCCCCCAAATGACCCCTTTTTGCAAAGTAGACAGTCTGGCGTACTTCATAAGAGGCATGGCGAGTTTTTTGAAGTTGTATTTTTTTTGTCATAATTTTTCGGAAAATGAAAAAATGAAAAAAATTAGTTTCACTATTTTTTTTTTTTACATATTGTCACCAGTGCAGTACAGCATCATTATATAACTGGCATGGCGGTGATCAGGGACACTGACTGGTGACAGTATGAAAAAAAAAAATATATTTTTTTTTTGTTTTTTTTATTATTTTTTATTAAATGTTTTTATTTTTTTTTAAGATTTTTTTTTTCATATTTCACTATGACCAAAGTAGTACAATGTTACCATAGTAACATTGTACTACTTTGGGGAAGTGATCAGTATTTTTTTTTTTTTTTTACACAATTTGCTTATAGCAAAGAATTACTTTGCTATAAGCAAGCATTTACCTGAATGACATTGATTCATTCAGGGGTTTTTTCTTGTGTGCTTAGCTGTGATTTGGCCACAGCTAATCACATGACATGTGCATGTAATTATCTGTGACCATTCACAGCTAGACACTAGTATACAATGGATGGCATGAATAACAGATTGCGCCGCTGCGCGGCTCTGCAGGAGCGCAATCTGCGCATGTGCGGGAGGACGCCATACGGCGTCCACCCGGAACGCTGATGACATTTGCCGGCGGCCATTCGGCCATAGGGTGGGCGGCAAATGGTTAAAAAGTAAGGGTCCCAACACTGAACCTTGGGGTACACCAATGACAACCCTAGACCATTCAGAGTATGAATCATTAACCACTACTCTCTGAATATGATCTTTTAGCCAGTTTTCTCTCCATTTACATACAGATTGTTTTGAAGCCCATAGACTTTACCTTACACATTAGCTGTGTGTGGGGAACTGTGTCAAACGCCTTTGCAAAATCCAAGTATACCACGTCCACCGCCACCCCTCTGTCCAAGGTTTTGCTCACCTCCTCATAAAAAGAAATCAGATTTGTTTGACAACTTCAGTCTTTCTTGAATCCATGCTGTCTGTTGCTTAAAATATTTTATTCCAGCAAGAACTCATCTATCTGGCTTTTTTATTAAACTCTCCAGTATCTTCCCAACTATAGATGTTAAACTAACAGGTCTATAATTACTTGGTAAAGATTTAGACCCCTTTTTAAATATTGGCACCACATTGGCTTTACGCCAATCCAGTGGTACTATGCCAGTCATTAAAGAGTCCCTAAAAATTAGAAACAATGTCTTTGAAATGACAGAGCTCAATTCTTTAAGGACCTGTGGGTGTATGCCATCCAGTCCAGGTGCTTTATTCACCTTTATACTGTCTAAATATTTTTGGATCATATCAATTGTGAGCCAATGTGGATCATCTGGAGCTGTCAATACCATGCCCATTATGGACATGAGCTCCCCCATGCTCCTTTGTATACACAGAGCTGAAGAAGGTATTTAATTTTGCCTTCTCTTTGTCCCCAGTCACCCACTGTAGATTATTTTGTAAAGGGCCTACATGCTCGGACCAGACCTTTTTACTATTAACCTCCCTGGCGGTATTCCGAGTGTAGCTCGGGGTAAGGTTTCAGTACCACAAGCGGTAACCCCGAGCTACACTCGGGAATACCATGCGGCGCTGCTCCACGATCCCTGTATCACTTACCTTGTCCTGCGCTCCCACGATGTCCCTCCTGCAGTGTCCCCGACAATGTAATCCGGCGGATGCCGGCATCTGTCATATGGGTTCCGTCCCCTGTGAGCGTCGGGACGTACGGGGGACGGAACGGCGGGAAATTAAAAAATGACAAAAAGTGACATTCACTAAAATCACTAAAATCACATAGTATTCCATTACTGTATCAAACCATTTCACATACATTTTGTCCCGAGTGCTTTGTCCTGTGTCCTGCCTGCATTTTTACTGTTCTTATTGCCTGGAAACTGAGAAATGTCCATGGTGTCCAAAAAGCGTCACTTTAGGTCAAAAGCGGTTTTAGACCGGCTAGAGAACAGCGATAGTAAATCAGAACCACTTGCAGAATTGAGTGATAATGATTTGTGGGGAAATTCGTCATCAAACAGTGAAAACGATTTTGCGACTTTGCTCAGTGATGTGCGAACTTGGCGCTATATTTCAAATTTAAGTGTTTTTGGTTTGATTATATTATTAAATTAAATTTATTATTATTATATTATTATTTTTATGATTATTTATTAAATTATAATTTATGATTTAGTGTTTCAAATTTTATCATACCCGGGATGTTTACTAGACTCTTGTTCGAACAGATTTCAGTGAGTTATTCCTAAAAATTACAGCCCTACAAAAAAAAAAAAACATATTTCCATGCAAAATAATGGTACCGCTTTCAGCACCAAAAATCTGAAATAATCATACCGCCAGGGAGGTTAATATATTTGAAGAATATTTTGGGGTTGGTCTTGCTATCTCTTGCAATCTGTTGTTCATTTACAATTTTTGCGGCCTTTATTTAATTTTAGCATATTCTGTTATATTCTTTGTAATGTTTAAACAATGATAGCGTTCCTTTATTTTTATATTTAATAAAAACTCTTTTCTTATTATCTATAGATTTGTTAACTTTGGCCGTAAGCCACATAGGTTTGATTTTTAGCCTTTTAAACTTGTTGCCCATGGGAATATATTTTGTAGTGTGTTCACATACAGTCTTTTTGAAGAACTCCGATTTCTGTGTTGTGTTTATTGATGCCAATATTCCCTCCCAGTCTAAGTCTTGGAGAGCAGCTCTCAACCTTGGAAAATTGGCTCTCTTAAAATTGAGTGTTTTTATTTTTCCCATATGTGCTTGCTGTTTACAGCTAAAAATAAATTAAATCATGTTATGGTCACTGTTACCCAGATGTCCTTTTACATGGACATTCGTAAAAAGCTCTGCATGGTTTGAGATTACCAGGCCAGCAGAGCATCATTCCTAATAGGGGCCTATATGAACTGTACCATAAAATTGTCCTGTAGTAGGTTTAAACATTTTTGCCCTTTAACTGTTCCTGTAGTACCATTACTCCACTCAATTTCTGGGTAGTTAAAATCCCCCATTATTATCACTGTCCCAGCCCTTGCAGCCCTTTCAATCTGTGCAAGGAGCTGAGTCTCCACTTCCTCATTAACACTGTAAGGCCTATAACAAACTCCAATGATTACCTTTGTAGTATGCACCCCTATGTGCAGTTCCACCCATAATACTTCAGCCTCATCACACTCTCCATCAACTAGGTCCTCTTTCACAGTCACTTATTGATAGATTTATGGCCATAGGATACAAAGAAGCTTAGTTGAGAGATATCAGACAGCAAGTATCAACTCTAGACAGAAAGTTATTATTGGAGGATAAACCCAAAGATAAGAAAGGGTTTGGAACAGTATTTATAACTAACTGTAACAGGCAATATAAAACAGTTTGAACAGGCAATATGCAAATATTGACCTATTCAGAGATAAAAACATTAGTAAACATATTACAAAAAAAAACCACAATTTGTTTACCGCAGGGTTCCAAACTTGAGGGAAAGACTGGTCCAGAATGTGCCTGACGCTCGTGAAAAATTGGGCACTTTCCTGGACCAGAAGGGTTTTTATTCCAATATTTGGTGTATACCATGTATTACAGTAATTAGTAGCAATAAAAAAACTCTATCGTTCACAATGAACGTTACACAGAGGACTGACCTGATAAAAAAAAACTAATAACCTGCCAAGGTACTCATGTCACATACTTACTTTCGTGCCCATGCAGCAAACAGTATGTGGGCCGCACAACTCAAAATTTAGTATGAGATTGGGGGAACATTTGAACAACATAAAGAAAGAAGAGCTATAAGAATCATAGTTTATCTGGCCATTTTAGGCAATTCCACGATAGGGATCCTAGCCTTGTAACATTCTGCATTGGTAAGGTAGAGTGCCATTGGAGAAGTACTGACATGTGTAAGGCAGTGTCAAAGAATGAGACACGTTGGATACATGAATTATGTACTTTGATTACAAATGGCATGAATATCAACATTGACATAAATTGCTTTATATAAAATTTTTAAGTAAGGGGAAAGTTTATGTAAAAGGAAAGACAATAACAAAGTTTTTATATTAGTCTTTAATGGGTTAGAGCAATTTAATATAATTTAACTCACTAATATTGGGTCAGGTTATCTTAATTAAGTATAGGAGATCAAATGGGTTTTTTATATCTAGAGGGGTGGCATTATCATTTTGATCCACAAGATGGTATATATATTACACGGGACACCATTGTATTGGTGGGGCCTGTCTTTCATCTAAACCTGAATATTTATATATAAGAGATTGAACTAAATGATACAGCTCATATGGCATTACTTTTTGGTTGTTTCTTCTTGTTTTAGTGATATTTCAGAGATTATGTAAATTGAGTGGTATGGACGGTCTTGGGAATGTAAAGTATATATGTGAGAGGTGAGCACCCACCGTGCCTTCCTGCTTTTGAAGACGGCACGTATTGATGACAAAACGTCTCGATAAGAACTTCCAGTGAGTTACTTCCGGTCTGGTGTGGAACGCCCGCTGAGGAGTCAGCAGCTTCCACATGATTGGAAGGGGGGATTGCTTGTACATTTTTTTCAATTTCTTATGGGCATGATCCTTTTTTATACATAATCTTTTTTTATAAAACACACAGTTTTACACTATGAGAGGATTCCTCTTCTCTCTTTTTTTAAAAAATATGTTGTTTTAATCATTGGAATACTGCTTGGATATGCTGAGGAGATAACAACACAGACAGGTGCCAGGCAGGAGTTCCAAGCAGGCCCTTGAGGGACCACAAAGCACAATGTGACTTTTCTTGTTGTATAGCTACGAAGTCAATAGAATCTGGTAAGTGAGGAGAGTTTACATTCACTGGTGGTAGAACACTTTATGGATGGGATCGGTGGATAGAGCACTCTTTTCATGTTATATGGACTTCCTATATAATTTATGGTGTTGAAGTTGATGCAAGCATACATCATTTGGGACTTTGCACATAACATTGTTTTGAGGATTTATTATGGACTTTGCACTCGTAAGTGGATATGAGGAATGTGTTTTTAGAGCACATTTATGTTATAAGTTTTTTCACATTATATTGAGTATTATTTAGCAAGCGTTATCGGCTGTATATGGTAACTTAGATCGTCTAATATAAGTGATAGTGGCTGCAGTCATGAATTTATTTGTCATTATTTGATATTATTTGCTACTATTAGGCACGGGTGGTTTTTGTGTAACAGTCAACTTTATACCTGGAGCCAAAAATGGCACAGCCAAAAAAGACTTAGATTTTAGGAAATGTGTTATTGCCTCTTTTCTTAAATGTGGCTACTATATTTGTCATCTACTGCCAACATGATGTCATTAGTATGTAAGAAACTAAAGAAAATTTCCCTTGCATATGAATAAACTGCTCTCAGTGATTTCATGTACTGTATGCATGTATTGAGGGTATGTACAGCTCACTGACACTAGTGGTAATGTGTTTCCTAGGTACACTCGCATTAGTTGCTGGGCAGGCACAGACTCACAATCATGCTATAGAGCAGTGATTCCATGCAAATCTATGGTTCCCCCTGAGGTTGCTAGGAGTCCCTTGAGCGGTAAGCTCAAATGACCTCCCACTGACCAACAATGCAATGGGACAACTTTCCACTTACCACCAATGTAATACATAATTTTTACACTGACCACTAATATAAAGGCATGGATGTATATTGAGTAGTGCCTGGCAAAAAAGTTAATCTCACATAAGAAATGTTTTGAAACATTTAATGGCTAAGAGCATCAAATACAGCCAAAACCCCTTCCTTCAGGGCTTGAGCAGTCAATGTTAATAAAACAACTTAAAGACTGATAATTCACAACTGAATGCACTACAGTACCTACAGTATGTTAAGGCTTGATGAAGACTAACATCTTCTGATGACACAAAAGGCAAAGATGTAAAGGGACATGACAATTTTAACTGATTGCACTAATGGTAATTTTATTTCAGTGATATTACTGAAAATGAATTTGTAGGGGACATATTAAAAAATACCTGCTATGGGTGTCAAATATGCCCATAGGTACAATACATTACTTATTGTTTCATTTTAAAAATGTCTATAATTTATTGACCACGCTATGAGCTTTAGGCATGATTACTTCTAACATGGGTTTCCCCAGACCTTAAAATTATTTTTAAGGGTTCCTCAGGGGTAATAACTTTGAGAAAAACCTGCTATATAGAGTATGAGTTACCTGCTGTATGGTCTGCTATATGACTGCAATATGTCTTCATAGAAAGCATAACCATACCATATAAATATGATGTTAATCAATATGTTTTTCCAGCAGAGTTGGATTTATTTTATAATGCATTTTGTGTGGAAAACTGTATACCAAAATGTGTGCCTTAATGCAACAGAATGAATTTGTTGCTTGCAGAACACAAATGACAAAATAAAATGTGTAAGAATGGGTATATAGAAGGCTCCTGATGTGTTCTGAAATAATGTATCTGTAGTATTCCTTTGAACTCATGGTACAAGTAATAAATGACTCCTGCAGCTAACTCACGTATGCAGTAATAAGATAACGAATGATTAAGAAAGTGTTTTTACTTTCTACTTTACAACTCTCAAAGCTCAAACTCCATCCAATGTTAGCAGATGTGTTATGTGTGACAGGGATACGGACAATGCCAAATGTTACATAACCCAGACTTCACAGATTAATATTTCCTATCACTAATAACATTGAAAAGGTGATAAGGACAATTAAACTATCAGGGTGTTGGAAGTCAATGACCTGCCAACTAAAAGGAGTGCATGTGCATTTGTATTTTA